CTCAAAACTGGAGTATATACGGAATCCAAGGCCCTACGCTGAATTGGTTAAAGGCTTTCCTGACCAACAGGGAGCAAAACAGTAGTGGTTGAAGGGAAGGCGTCGGCTCCAGTTAAAAGTAGCGTCTGGGGTCCCTCAAGGAACCGTCCTGGGGCATTGCTCTTTCTCTTGTATATAAATGACCTACCAGATCAGCTTGACTCAAATGTGAGGTTATTTGCCGATGACTGTCTATTGTATGTAGAGCTTTCTACACAGACCGACTCACAACTTCTCCAAAAAGACCTGAACACCCTGGAAGAATGGCAAAGCAAATGGCTCATGCAGTTTAATCCCGAAAAATGCTACATTATGCACATAACAAACAAACGACTAGCTACCAGTTTTGTGGTCAGGCTTTAGCAACCACAAAAATCCATCCGTATCTGGGCGTCACGCTGACAAGCGGACTGAAGTTGGGTACACATGTTAATAATATCACAACTAAGGCGAAACAGACATTGGGAGTGATTAAACGTAATCTGTGGGCATGTCCAACTAGAGTAAAATCACTTGCATACACGTCACTTGTAAGACCGAACCTAGAATACGCTGCGACAGTATGGGATCCATATACAAAGAAAGACAAAGACAAATTGGAAAGGGTACAGAATCAAGCTGCAAGATTCTGTATGAACAACTATGTAAGAGGTGCTAGTGTCACGGAAATGAAAAGAAACCTACAGTGGACTTCACTGGAAGACAGAAGAAAGATGTCTAGACTATGCATGATGTACAAAATGACTAATAAACTGGTGGATGTCCCAACTACTAAGTACCTAATACCAGCCCAGAAGAGAACAAGAAATAGCCACGCATTCAAGTACCAGAGTTATCAACCAAGGATTGAGGTGTTCAAGAATTCATTCTTTCCTAGAACTATCGCAGAGTGGAACTCACTGTCACCAAGTACAGTAGGGGCATTGTCAATAGATAGCTTTAAACAATGTCTAGAGCTAGAAGTTCAAGGGTTAGGTGTAACAAGTCGATCGGTGTAATATAGCCAGCTGCCGCCGCGCCGCGTGCCTGCGAAGCTGGTGTGTTACGCCGAAAGGCGGTTATACCGGCTATACAGATACAGATACAGATACAGATACTAATCTGAAATACAAGGAAGTCTTCCTTGACAAACAATTTGTTCCCGAATCTTCGACGACGCAGCTATCCATGGAGTTGTTATCGCCGCAGGTGAAAGGGGTTTACTCAACATAAATTTGCCAGGGTTGTTAAAGGAGATAGACCCTGGGTCATTTTAAATGTCACTAGAAGGAGAGAAATATTAGCATGGTGGTAATTGATCACTCCGTTTACTAAAAGTCTGAGTTAAGGTATATGTTGGTATCGAGGGGAATATCACGTACATGTAATACTTAACCCTAAACAGTACACCTGGGGTCCGCGCGGACCCCAGCACTATATATTCTGTAATATCTTTTTTTTTGTAAAGATTTTTTTCTGAAATTTTAGGTAATTGTCACCCACAAAGTTGTCTCTCAATACAGTGCAGAAAACTCCGTTTCTACCATTAAAAAAAAATTATATCTGATTTTCTTTTGGGGTCCGCGCGGACCCCAGCCGGCTTTCAATCAGAATGAATACACTGGCGTTCTTATACAGTACCTTATTTCCGTTTTTATATGTTTTTATCCACTCATCGTATGTCTACCAAGTTTTCAGAGAATGGTGTAGTAATAGAATTAAATTTTAATTAACTTTGGTGTAATTATGACGTCATATGACGTCAGAGCTAATAATATAGTCCGCCATATTGGATTTTGACAAATGACGTCATCAAATTAGCATATTCTATGCATATTAAATGATTTAACTTATATTTAATTATGTAAGATGTTATTAATGTTGGAAAAGAAGTGTAATTTAATATAAAACTCAGAAAATTTTTATGTTTAAACCAAAATTACTTCTATTTTCAAAAAAACTGCCCGTTGCCATGGCAACACAAAAAAAACATCAACTTACAAGTATTAAACTAATATGAACTTTTTTCCAGAGACATTTTAGGAAAGGTCTCCAAATTTGATACTTCTAGCGCAAGCCGTTTAGCCGCTATCTGAGATCAAAGTTGGGCCTCAAAAGCCCCTTCAGTCTGAAATGGGTTTAAAAATCGGGTATTTCTTCTTGTCTTCTTTTCTTCACCAAAAAATAGAAAAAGTTTTAAATGTATGATTTTTGTATGTAATGTGGACACAGAGGTTCCCACATCAGTTTGCAAAACAATTGAGCTGGTAGTATGTTGATAATTTCTAAAAATTAGCAAAAAACTGTTCTGGGGTCCACGCGGACCCCAGGTGTACAGATTAATCAGTCCGGGAAGGTGTTAATATACGTTGGGCTGTTAACCTGGCACATTCAAATCATTTAGCTAAGACAGTGCTTCAAAAATATAGCCACATTGTAATTAATTCTTTACGACACCAAATTTCAATCTAACATTTTTGATGAATTGTGTTCGCATGATGAAATTTAGTTATATTTATTGACTTACCCAACGCGGAGAGACGAGTCCCTCATAAACAACTTTTACTGACAGACTGTTTGAACAAAAACTGCTGACAATTTTCTCTTGTTCAAATTTCCTCCTGGTTAGATTAGCAGAGAAGGACAACAGGCCCAGATCGCTTAAAACTTTGTTAGAGAACTTCAAACTTTTCTCATTCCCTCTTAAACTACCAAGGCTAGGGTTGGGAAATAAGGCGACCATGAAGCTTGTTCCCACCCTGGTGGTGATACTTCTCACTGTCTTCACGGCAGGTAAGACATCTTATTCTTATTTTTTAAAAGCTAAGATGTTTTATTGTGTGTTTATGTAGTATTACTCGGATCGGTTGTTACCAAACAGCCATGCAGACTTACTAATGTTGGATTATACAAAGGGTTCCTTTCCTATTAATGGATACTGTTCAACGAACGTCTAAAATGGAGTTTGTGTGCGATTTTGGGATGTGGCCTCTCGAGTTATTTTTAACGCAATAAAGTAAAAGACGTACGTAAAACATTGACGATGAGGTCACCGCCATAACTGATGTAGCCGCCTCAATGGGGGGGGGGAGAAAGGCTAAGAGGGGGATGAGAGGGGGGAAAGGGAGTAGGAAAGAAAGGGGAAAGAGGAAGAGAAAGGAGGAGAAAGGGCGAGAGACAGGGTGCGAGAGAAGGGGGTGAGGGAGAGAGAGATAAAGAGAGTGGGAGGATAGAGATACAGGGGGAAAGAGGAGGAAGGAGCTAGGACGAGGAGAGGGAGAACAGAGGAAAGGTAACAGAGAGAAAGACAGTTTTGAAAAAGAGCTTCTTTGTTGCAAAAGAAATAAGGATAAAAATGTCTAAAACTCTAGACTAGCAAGCTAAAAGACAGGAACAGATTTGCAGACTGGTTGGTTTTCAAATGATTTAAATATTTTTCTATGATAGCTTGCAAAGCCCAAGTAATGAAATGAAACCATGCAAAATGACAAATACAAGCCAAATAATGAAGACAAGTCTACCTACAATTTAAAAATCAATGCAATGTTTGAGTTCCAACACTCAGATAAGCCCTGTCTGATTAGCCCTACATGATTTTAATGTTATTCCATTAAAGTGTCTTGTATCTGTATATGCAACTTGAAATGGTCTAACAGCTTTAATGCTTTGGCGTCTGAATTGCGGCACGTAATTGTGGTGCTTACAGAGAGTCAGATAAACCAGTATATACTTCGAATTTGTAAAACTAGGGCTTGTAACTGCCAGCTAAAACCCCACACTACAAATGGGCAATGAGACAATACTAAAGACTGTCTGTAAATAAGGAATAGCCGGACTTTTATGATCTTGTATTAGTGTATATCGGTTTAGTACTAGAGTACGCTTCCAAGTATGGCACTCCGGATTGAATCAGAGTCGATTGAGAGGGTCCAGAAAAGGACATGCAAGATAAGCCTTGTTCAGTCTTGCAATGTCTATAACTCAGCTTTACAAGAACACTCACTAAGGCTCCCATTCCACTTAATATATATGCCGCAATTCCACTTAGACATCGCTCTCTCTGCGCTCTCTCTTCCACCTGGAATTGGCCAGAGTGCAGATGGAGCGCCGTGAGAGCGCTGAGGTCGCGATGTTTACCTTCGCCAAGAAGGTTAAGTTTTGAGAGGCATTCGTGTGTGTGTGTGTTCGTGTGTGTGTTCGTGTGTGTGTGTGTGTGTGTGTGTGTGTGTGTGTGTGTGTGTGTGTGTGTGTGTGTGTGTGTGTGTGTGTGTTTGTTTGTCAACACGATAACTTTAGAAGGCTTCCATGGATTGACTTTATATTTGATAGGTGGGTAGGTCTTGGTGAGACTTCCAAATGATTTGATTTTGGGCCCCCTAGCAACTACTTATGGTACTTAAGCTGAACTTCGGTTTTGAGATCTCGTGATCTAGACATACTAAGGTTACGAAATTTAAATGATAGGTAGGTCTTGTGCTTGGGAAGAAGTGACGTGGATTTGGGCACCCTAGCGGCTTGTTCAGGAACTACAGGGCCATTTCTTTGAAATATTCAAAAGAGGATAACTCAAGAACCGGTTGACGGATGGTCGTGATTTTTGGTATGTAGGTAGCTTTAGTGATGCTCCCATGGCGCTGTCATCGCGCTCCCATAGAGACCTTGGCGCTCTCTACGTGCATTGTCCAGGGCCGTGCTAGAGTACCTTTAGAGTGCCGTCTAAGTGGATTGTATCGGTAGCTCAATTCCGACGTGAACTCCGCCAAAACTTTGCACACAGCTATGTCAAGATCAGGGTGTACCGATGTGTTGCACATCAAGTTTTACATTTTTCCACTTTCAATACAAAAACTTGCACCACAACTGAAACCAATTATGATCGTACAATTCGGCAAAAAAAGTAAAATTGGCCAAGAGAGTCCGGCCGTGGGGAGGTAGTTTTTTTCCCTCCGTAGACCTGTGGAAGTCTGTGCGATGAAAGGCAATAAAAGGCAATAAAACTAATCCCCTCATTTTCTTTCACTTTGAAATCATTTATAAGTCATAAATCGCTTTACGCGCAGTTTGACGCACCAGAACCGACGGGCGGCTTTTCGGTACAAAGTTCAAATTACGCATGACATCAAAACGTATCCTTGATAATCTCAGTTTTTCAATATCTACATAATTCAGTAAACTGTGACGTTAAGATAGATGTAGACAGCATTGTTTGGATATCAATTTCTGTGACGTTTAGTTTCCAATATTTTTTTAAAAAAGGAATAAAAGAACACGATTGTTCGATAGTTGCGTTGTCGTGCGGTCACTAACGTGCTGAATGTTTTCCCACTATTTTGAGTTGGAGTTGCGAGTAATTTTCGGCGATTTAGTTGGACAAAACTACTTGTAATGACCGTTATTTTCAATTTTTACGTGACCTCTGACACTTACTGTCACATGTTGAGCTGACATCGCGCGTCTGGCACGATATCCACGGGCAGTGCAATAAAATGTTACTTGGCCAATTGGCACCTATCAAATAGCAACTAGTGGACTACACAGAAAACCTCCACATCCTATGCGCGGCCAGTCAAACCTACAAGGCGGTCAAACTCCCCTGGCAAATATTCTCCTATATATATATAGACAGCGTAGGTAGTCTGCGTAGAGACTAGACCCCTATGCTAAAGCCTAGAGAGAACTATGCTTCTACTTCGCAAGCTAAACTGTCTTAGCAAGGCCTTCACCCATAGAAGCCGCACGGCATGTTTATGCTTAAAAATTTATAAAAGTGGGGTGGGGTCATAATACAAAAAAATCATTATTAATATTTGATTGATCTCCTTTTATGCTGTATGGTGAGTAAAATACAATTTAACACAAACCAAATCGTTAACTAAACAACAAACAGACGTTAGCCCTTTTAAGATATATATATATATATATATATATATATATATATATATATATATATAGAGAGAGAGAGAGAGAGAGAGAGAGAGAGAGAGAGAGAGAGAGAGAGAGAGAGAGAG